AGGGATTGGAACAACGTATCAAGGAGATTAAAGGAGAGGGAATTACCAGGAGGACAGTATACAGCTGAGAATGTGAAATGGAAAGGGCGAGTCGAAAGGAATACAGAAGTTGATTGAATGGCATCAGTTGGAGTGGAAGGAATAAGGGAATGGAGTAAAGATTTATGTATAAGGATGCAAGAACCAGCGTGGGCAGTGTTGTCAGGATGGTCAGATCTATAAGTGATGTAGTGTCGTATGTGAAAATGTGTCCGCTTAGTGAAATGCGTTTCAGTCAGTAGAGCAATATGAATGTGATTTCATGAAGAAATATGTCAAGTTCGTCTTGGTGGTTGTGTAGTCCGTCAGCATTCCATAAAAGCATAGTTAGGGGGCTTTGTGCTTAAATTAAACGGAATTTCAGTCAGGATTCTGGTGAGTAGAGTGATAAGAGGTTTTATAGTGTTTTGGAGGTCCAATAGGAAGGATGATAGAATGGAAGTTATGTCAGATGGATGTTGATTGTGAAGTGGATTTTAGGATTAGATGGGTGTGGATGCTGTGGCGGTAATTTGACTCGTAGGGATAGATGATGAGAGGGAATTTGCTGACGTGGAGGATAAGATTGAGGATTGGGAGTATGAGGTTTAGCTTGGGAGGCCTGAGGCGCCTGGCATCGAGGCTGCTTCTTCTTGATGGTAGTATATGTGTTAGTTTTGCTAGAGTCCTGTTGAGGATGGGCGATGTCAGTTGAAGTAGTTGGTTCATGTTGGATTGAATGGGTAGTTTGTTTTGGCAACTCAGGGAAATTTGAAATATTTTCAATTTCTGGTGGCTGGTGTAAGTATCTTGATTTGATTTACTGCTCTTAGAGGCTATGTTCTGAGATCTTAACTTATAATGTGTTTTGTAGTCCATGCATCCATTGTAGCTAGCAGGATAGTCTTCGCCACAGAGAGCACATTTAGGAGGCTGGTCTCGAGGGATCTGACAAGTGTTAGATGCGTGTGGTCCGGCACATCTTACGCACCTCGCCTGATGATGACAATAGGTCTTTGTGTGCCCCAAGTCTTGACACTTGGTGCATTGAACTATGACAGGCTTTTGTCTAGGCTCTTCGAATTAGATTGTGGAATATACAAGCCTCTTAACTTGAAATATTTCAATGTTATTACTAGCAGGCTCCAAGTCAACGAAAAACAGTGGCACTGAATATTTTTGCGTTGGATGTAGCACGCATGCTATATGCCTAACGTTATGTCCTATTTCCTCCAGATCAAATTTGATAACGGATATGGGGGTGGTTGAGTGCAAGCCTTTCAATACCACCCGATATACCTTTTTTTGTCTCAGTTGATAACAATGAAATTCATATTTTTTAGTCGTAAAATAATTTATGAGTGCTTTATATTTTTTTTTAGAGCTCGTGTTGATCTTAATGTCGTTTACCCTAGGAAAACAGCGGAAACTAGTTTGTCCGATAAGATCAGCAATGTCTCGAATAAATGAGATGAAATTTTCGATTTTAGAGAAAAAAATAGGGGGCGGCTCGGGGTCAGTAAATCCTTGAGGTTCCGGAGGCTTTTAAGGTGAGTTACTACCAAGAACAAAATTATCGCTGGCTGTGGTATTTGGTGCAGTTGGGGCTGGTTTCGAGGTGTTTGATTTGCTTCTAGTTTTGGGTGGTGATTTATTTTTCTCGGCAGGCTGTTTAGATTTATTTTGTTCAGCTGTCTGTTTAGATTTTGTTGATTTATTTTTTTTTCTTGGTAGGCAAATTGCCACACGACCCAGGGACAGAGTTTCGGTGACGTTTTTTAAGCGAGCGTCTTTTCAGATATTGCGAGCCAGTTCCGCTAAATTCGGCAAATGGTGTCTCGTCTTCTGAATCTTCACATGAAGAGTTCATGTCCAAATTCATATTTTCCATTTTAATAAGAGAAAAAAAATATATTCCTGTACATTAAAATTACAGAGATAAAAATTTACAACCTACTAAAAAAAAAATTACAAATTTAGAAACAGAAATAAAACAAAACATTCTGAGAATAAATAAACAAGAAGAAAAATAAAAAATAAAATAAAATAAGACTGTCTCTGGGGAAGAGAAAAAAAAAAAAGTTCAATGTCTTTGTTTCGAACTGAGACCAGCTGACGGAAACGAGCTAGTGTACAAACCTTGGCAGTGAACTTAACGCAAATAAGATAAGAACGGCAAGGGAATTAACAGCCACATGGGCTATTCAAACTAGCACTAATTTATCACTTCATTGTTAATAAATTGTAACTCACCATCTTTATCCGTGAACTTAAAAATGTTCAAGTGTTTATAATGTCACTGTTAATCAATTTTTAACACAGAGTTTTGACTAATAAACACATAGCAAAGTAATAATCACAGAGCGACGTGAAAACTAAACTGCAGTAACGGCCAAGACATTTACTCTTTTTAAATAGTATAGTTAATTTTAGTTTGTCTGAGTGTTTGATCTGATTGTCAGTAACCCACACCTGAGATAAATAAATATATTAATGCTCTTATAATTTTGTTTATTATTAAACAACATCTTATTTATTTAGGAAGTATCCCAATGGTAAGAAGTGAGCTTCCGAGGTTATATTATTATTATTTGTAAAATATAAGAAATATGTTACAATGTTAAAGTCAGTAAAATGTGTCTTGGAAAAAAGGAAAATAAAAATAACAAACCGTGGCTTGATGAAGATTGCTTAAACATGTGTAAAAAAAAAGAAAAGCCGCTAAAATAATAACTCTAAATAATCCTAGCGAAAACAATCTTGAATACTTTCAAGCCTTAAAGAATGAAACTACTAAATTGTTTAAAATAAAAAAAGGGACTATCTTAGAAATGAAATAATAGTTATTGAAAATAATAGAATCGAAAACAACGTAAGAGACATATACAAAGGTATAAATAAATCACATAAATGTTCAGGACCTGTAACGGCTGGAATTAAGGATGAAAATAACAATATTCTCACTGACCTTGTGGACAGATTAAGTAAGTTTAAGAAACACTTTGACAATATTTTAAATACGAGAAGTAATGATCTCTGTCCTTCTAGAGTACTAGAGCGCTGAACCATTAATAGAAGAACCGAGTAAAGGGGAAGTAGAAATAGCTATCGGAAAATTAAAATCTTATATATAAAGATATTCCTAGTGATCTAATTAAGACATGTGGGAAAGCTGGAGTTTATAAAATACATTTCTTGGTTAAAAAGGTCTGGGAGAAATTGGGAATGAGAAATTTCCTGAAGAATGGAAAGAATCTATCCTTATTCCTATTCACAAGAATGGTCTGAGGACGGAAAGTAATAACTATGAAGGAATTTCACTTCATCCGTTATGTTATAAAATATTCAAATTAATCTTAGATAATCGAATCACGGAATACGCCGAGGAAATTATCAGGGACTACCAATGTGGATTTAGGCGGAACTATTCAACTATCAATCAAATATTTTCTTTACGACAAATATAAGAGAAAAATTTAGAGTACAACGGTTTTGTTCAACAGCTTTATATCAATTTCAAAAAGGCTTATGATTCCACTATGATCCGCCTGAAACTGTATAATATTCTAATCGGGCAGGAGATCCCAAAAAAATTAGTGAATCCAGTTTAGGATGTCTATGTCCGAAACATTCAATGTTATTATTTATCTGAGAAATTTGAGGTTCCTTCGGGCTTAAAACAAGATGATTCTCTTTCACCTGTCCTATTAAATTTGGCATTAGAACATGCCATTACAGAGGTGAAACATACTGAAAAAGGTTTGAACCATGGTAGAACAATATCCGTGCTTGGGTATGCTGATGATTTGGTACTGTTAAGCAAAGACATAGAAACAATAAAACTAAATACAACAACAATGATGATAGCCAACTAGGACTCAAAAATAAATACGGATAAGACAAAATATATGGTAAGCTGCAAAAACAGCAACAATTTTGATATCAATATAGAAGGGAATGATTGAACAAGTACAGAATTTTAGGTATCTAGGGTCTACAATAACTAGAAAAAACGAAATTGAAGAGGAGATTAAAGTTAGGTTGAAGGTGGGAAATGCTTGTTATTTTTCATTGGAAAAACTACTTTGTTCGCGCCTCTTGTCCTGAAACTTAAAAATTGGAATTTACACAACCATTATCCTTCCAAAGGTTCTTTATGGATGTGAAACATGGCCGCTTACATTTAGGGATGAGCAACATCTTAAGGTTTTTGAAAATAAAGTATTGCGTAGAATATTCGGACTGAAGAATGATGAGTCAAACGGAGAATTTAGGTGGTTACACAACACTGAATTGTGCGAACTGTATCCAGCTAATACAGATGAGATGATTAAGTTGAGGAGAATAAACTGGGCATGTAAACTCGCTAGGCTTAGTAACAAATGAATTCCTAAAAAGTTAATATTTACTGTGCCGACTGGCAAGTGTCCGTGTGTACAACCAAAGCGAAGGTGGGAAGATTGCATTAAGGCTGATCTTGCAGGGTTGGGTTTAGATGGCATCCCGTTGGATGGAATTCTTAAGAATCATTTGATGGTATTGGCATTGAACCTTCGGGTTCACTAAGCCCCTTATTATTATAAAAATTTAAAGCTTTTTTATGAGAAGAATTTAATTTATTTGGTCTTTTTTTCTTTCTTCGTTTCTTGAAGTGTATATTTATGATGTTCGACCATTATATATAGTTTTAAGTGTTTTGTACACGGTTTTATTTGTTTTGTATAAAGTCTGTTCACTTAAGGTTTTTTTTACTTTTTTTTGTACAATTTTGTTTATTCTAAAGGGACTATGTCCCAGAATAAAGTTGTTTTCTATCTATCTACCTATAAGTATATAAAATTATAATCTGATAAACAGAAGAAATATTATCTAAAAAAAAATAATCAGTATTCCTTAAGTATTAAGCAATCATTAATAGTGTAACAATGATTTGTTAATTTAATAATAATGGTGATTTATTTAATTCTGAATATTTAACTTACAGGATCAATATCCAGTGATGTTTTCTTTTTAGTTTTCGGAACCTTCGTGGTTCCAGAACACTTACCACGTTTGTTATCATTCCTTGCCATAGAGGATCTTTCATGCTGAAATGATTAAGGTATTTTAGTGTGATATACATAAATATATTTCAATAAATAAGATTTGAAGAAGACTTAATAAAATAACAATCAGTACATATTTTATCAAGGATATATTCTTAATTCAAGTTGAGAAAAACAAACAAGCAAAGAGTTCAAGGATTTATATATAGCATTTCCAAGTCAATTTCAACCTTTTCCAAGTCAAATTCAACCTTTTCCAAATAAAATTAAACTTTTCCAAGTCAAATTCAACCTTTTCCAAATAAAATTAAACTTTTCCAAGTCAAATTCAACCTTTTCCATTTCAAATTAAACCATTTCCATTTCAAATTCAACCTTTTTTATTTATTTAATTATTTTTAATTTTTCGATGTGTAGGTCTGTTATCGTATGAGTAGTTTTTGAAAATAGCCTCCATTTTAAGATCACGTCACTGGGTTTCGACTTATTTAAGTTTTTTTTTATTTATTCGTTATAAGGGTGTATTCTTATGTTTCCCGAGCCATAGATTTTGAAAACGATCTCCATTTTAAGATCAGGCCACCGTGTTTCGATTTCTTTAAATGTTTCAAATTTTTTTCATATAAGGGTGTATTCTTATGTCTCCGGAACCGTAGATTTTGAAAATGACCTCCATTTTATGATTACGCCATTGCGTTTTGACTTCTTCAAGTTTTTCGAATTTATCCAATTTAAAGGTCTACTTTTAAGTTTTCGGAGCCGTAGATTCTGAAAATGATCTCTATTGTATGATTACACCACTGCGATTCAACTTATTGAAGTTTTTCGAATTTATCCAATATAAAGGTCTACCTTTATGTTTCTGGAGCCGTAGATTTATAAAATGACCCCATTTTAAGTTTATGCCACTGTGTTTTGGATTATAAAAGTTTTTTTTTTACTTTTTCGGTATAAGGATCTACTAATATGTTATCGGAGACGTATTTGAATTTTTTCTAATCTCTAATATGTAATCTCCATTTTATGATTAACCCGCTGCATCTCGATTAATTAAGCTTCATTTGGATTTTTTCAATAAAAAGTTTCATCAATATGTTTTAGAGTATGAATAAATAAATAAATAAATATTATGAAGCTAAGGTTAAATTAACCACAAAACACAAACTAAAAAGCCGAAAAAGCAACTGGTAATAAATTTAACCTACCATATTCAGATTTTTCAGCTAATTGTTCGAAATCTTATAATTTTGTTACAGGAGACCACAACATTAAAAAAGATAACTAAAATTAAATTTAAAATGAGACAATAGATATTTTATTTATTTCGATTAGATATTTTTAATTATTTATTGAAAAATAAATTAATCCTTCGTATTTTTTTTTTATTCGAAGGAAAAATCAAAAACACTTAAAAAAACCGAAACACAGTGGCCTAATCTTAAAATGTAAGTCGTTTTCAAAAACTACGGCTCCGACAACATAAAAGTAGACCTTATAAATGGAATAAATTCGAAAAACTTGAATAAGTCGAAACACAGTGGCGTAATCTTAAAATGGAGGTCATTTTCAAAATCTACGACTCCGGAAACATAAGAATACACTCTTTTATGATAAAATTCGAAACACTTAAAGAAATCGAAACGCGGTGGCCTAATCTTAAAATGGAGGTTGTTTTCAAAATCTACGGCTCCGGAAACATATGAATACATCCTCATATCAAAAAAATCCGAAAAACTCAAAGAAATCGAAACGCGGTGGCCTAATCTTAAAATGGAGGTCGTTTTCAAAATGTACGGCTCCGGAAACATAAGAATACACCCTCATATGAAAAAAATCGAAAAACTCAAATAAGTCGAAACGCGGTGGCCTAATCTTAAAATGGAGGTCGTTTTCAAAATGTACGGCTCCGGAAACATAAGAATACACCCTCATATGAAAAATATCCGAAAAACTCAAATAAGTCGAAACGCGGTGGCCTAATCTTAAAATGGAGGTCGTTTTCAAAATCTACGGCTCCGGAAACATAAAAGTAGACCTTTATATTGGATAAATTCGAAAAACTTGAATAAGCCGAAACGCAGTGGCCTAATCATAAAATGGAGGTAATTTTCAAAATCTACGGCGCCGGCAACATAAAAGAAGACTTTTAAGGTGGATAAATTCGAAAAACTTGAATAAGTCAAAACGCAATGGCGCAATCATAAAATGGAGGTAATTTTAAAAATCTATGGCTCCAGAAACATAAAGGTAGACCTTTATATTGGATAAATTCGAAAAACTTAAATAAGTTGAAACACAGTGGCGTAATCATAGCATAGAGGTCATTTACAGAATCTACGGCTCCGAAAACATAAAAGTAGACCTTTATATTGGAAAATTCGAAAAACTTAAATAAGTCAAAACGCAGTGGCGTAATCTTAAAATGGAGATTATTTTCAAAATTAGGTACAGGACAGCATAATACTAGTCCCTAATAAATCCGAATAGGTACAATAAATCGATATCCTTAAGTATAAATTCTACTTAGGAGAGCATAATAATACACCTTTATATTAGAGGGGGAGGGGATGACCATTATTTAAAAAAAAGTTAAAATTTACAAAAAATTAAAACATTAATTCGAAATGAAAACGGTTGAATTTGAATTGGAAATGGTGGAATTTACTTGGAAAAAGTTTAATTTGATTTGGAAAAGGTTGAATTTGACTTGGAAAAAATTGAATATGACATTGAAATATTACACTGAAAAAATCTAAAATGTTAAAATAAATGGATATGCAACTGCGTTATCATATATTTTTTTTTTTGTATTTTTCAAAAGCTATGCCTTCGATAACATAGTAAGTTGCCTTCATTTCGAAAAAAATCGAAAGTTGAAATTGAAATGGAAAAGCTTGAATTTGAAATGGAAAAGGTTTAATTTGACTTGGAAAAGGTTGAATTTGATTTGGAAAAGGTTGAAATTGACTTGGAAATGCTATATAACTTGGATTAAAATGGAAAATAATTAATTTAAAAAAAGTCATTTGTACAATACATCAAGTAACAACCAATACATTTTTTTCTATTATGACTTTGTTGCTTTGAAAAACATAATAAGGAAATAATATTTGATCATAATGAGATTTAAAGATCTCCCTTATTACTTGGAGATAAGAACTAAACGGATAAATGTGAATCCCAGGCACAACAACAACCTCCAATATCCTACTCTTTCTGCTATAACTAACCATCAACAACCTCATCAACATAGAATTCCTCCTCCATCAAATGCCACAGAGCTCACCAGTTTATTGGCATTTTTCCTCATCAAATTCAAATTACTTGTTACTCCACTTATATCACTCCTTACAAATCTCGTATCTCACCTCATCCCTTCTTTAAAATCCTTAAATTAATACCATCAAACACACAGCCATTCTCCTTTGGAATGTGAATGGTGATAGAAATAACATTTACAAACTTACATTAACAGCTTCTCTACTAGCACTAATTACAGAAACTCAACTGACAAGAAAACAGCTTTTAAAAATACATAACATATTGACCACCCTAAAAGTAGAGCACATGCCGGTACTGCAGTCATTGTACACCAATCCCTCTCTCATCACCTTCTCCCATTACCTACTCAACATTTCTTAAAATCTACCACCATCGTAATTAAATCCCTCTCTTTTCTGGTCACCCTTGCATCAGCATATTGCCCTCCTAACAGATTCATAACTAATGTCCAGTTCAGTTTTCTTCTCAACTCCTTAGGTCATCACTTCATCCTGGGTGCAGACTTAAATGCCAAGCATTAAGCAAGAATGGGGTTCAAGAACCACGAATTCTTATGGTAGAACATTGCTCTCTGCACTCAATTTCCAATGTTTTACCCTCCTTCCTCCCGACTCAACTACCTACTAGTCCACCGATCCTAACTGTAATCTTGATATCCTTGATTTTTTAATCCATTGTAGTTTTTTTCCTCTGTTGACATTACAGACAATGTAGATCTTTGCCGCCTTAACAAGCCTGCTCCATCTCTACATGTCTTGAGTTATTTCTTCCCATTTATCTGCATGTAGCTCTTTTGCATCTTTGTTGATTCTATTTGTCCATCTGCTTTGTTGGCCTTTCATGTGGTCTTTTGCCTTCTATTGAGACATTCACCATTGTAGTTTAGGTCCCCTCAATTATTTCCTTAACTGTCTAGATGAACTTTCATCAGATCATAGTCCATTAATACTCCAATTATCTCTAGCTGTTATTCCAAAACCCTGAGACTGGCTGAGAATCATCCTCATGTTCCACTTACCTATGACTGTTCAAGCTCTTCACCTTTTATAAATTTTATGGATTTCATCCATAAATACAGTAGATAAGAGTGGACTCAGACTGTGCCCTGTTTGAAACCTCTATCAATCGGAAAAGGAACAGACTCTGTTTGTTAATCCTCAATACTCCTTTTGAATTTGCATACACAGATTTTATGGCAGTAATGAGACCTCTTGGAACATTTTTAGCAGCCAGAGCATTCCATATTTCTTGGCGCAGGAACAAGTCAAAGGCAGCCTTAAGATACAAGAATGGTAGGTATGTACTCCAGTCTCTGTCTCATGCTTTTTCTAATATAGTTCATAGGACAAAGATATGCTCCTTGGCCTGTCTCCCAGGACGGAAATTTTCCTGTTCCTCTTCCAGCTGCTCCTCCACAATTCGTCGTAACCTTTTTTCCAGAATGAATGTGTATGTTTTGTAGGCCAATGATTAGAGACTAATTGGCCTATAATTAACACATTCTGTTTTACTACCTTTTTGGGGAATGAATAATTATCCTCCCCCTTTAGATCCCAACCCTTTAATTCCCACCTTACCTCCCCCTCTGTGCATGACAAGTCCCTCTATATACCACCAAAAAATCCTAAAATCAAATCATATTTCACAACCCCTCTGTCAATGCGATCGCTCCTGGACAGCCTCTGATGAGGACAAAGCTGAAGAAATTTGCCAGACACTTCTCAAGTACATTCACTCTTCATCCAGAATCACATTCCACCCACACTACAAAAGTACAATTTCTCTCTTCACCAATCCCACTTACTTATCTTACCACCTAAAGGAGTTAATCCTTCTGAGGTCAAATACCTTTTATGTAAAATCATTCCTCGTAAAACTCCTGGATACAACCTCCTAACACCACAGATCCTTGGAAACTATCACCTAAAGCTGTCATATTCATTACATATACTTATAATTGCAGCTTAAGAACTTTTCTACTGAACCTATTTTCTACTGAAAACACATTACTAATCAACAAGACTATTATGAAACCTATTTGGACCTGTGGAATAGAACTGTGGGGGGCAGCAAAATTTTCTCACATAAAACGCATCCAATCCTTTTAGTCCAAAGTCCTTTGAACAATTGTCGATGCTCTGTTCTACGTAACCAACGAAACCCTATACTATGACCTTATCCCAGAAAAATTCTTTAAATTTCATCAGAACCTTACCAAACATCCAAATCTCCTTGCAGAATCCCTATCAAGTACTACCCACCCCTATAATCCTCCAAGGAGGTTAAAATGGCAGTGGCCCTGGGACCTTCTGTAGTATATATTGGAGTTCTGGCAATGGCCAGATTATCTACTCAAGACATGAGTATATGTGGTTAAAGCGCTCTCGATCAATCTCTACTGGTTTCAGTATTAGTGACGCGGTTGAGTAGAACAGGAATTTCCTGGAGTCCTGCTTTTCCCTCCTTAGTTGTATATAAGTATGTATGTGTATTTTAACATTTACTCATCTTTAAGTTATTTTAATTTTATTTATTTTATATACCTTTTTATTATTTACTTTTATTATTATTTAGTTGTTATTTTGCTTTTGTTTGTTGCATATATTTTAACATATAGTGTGAATGTAGTCATACCTCACTATAACCATTGTCCAAGTGACATAATGTTATATTACTCAATAAATAAATAAAAAAGTCATTTAAACATTACAATAACAACCAATACCTTTTTTTCCAATTTGACTTTGTTGCTTTGAAAAACATAGTAAGGAAATAATATTTGATCATAATGAGATTTAAGAGCAGAGCAAGAACTTCGACCTGGGGATAATCCCATCTGCATAGCAATACAATTCCACTTTCTTTCTCTTGTGACTGTAAAACTCCCACCTGTAAAAAAACATACATACATACATAAAAGAAGAAAAGTAAATTTTACTCTGGGACATTTAGTCCTCTAAGAATAATTATAATGAACAAAAAGATGATGATTGTCTGGCATTATAAGAAAATAAAAAAATAATTAGCTAACATAACGTAATAATCTAACCTTACAATTAAAATAAATTAAGTATAAGTAAAGTTCTGATGAACAATATTGATGATACATAAATAAAAGTAACACAACAGTCAAATGAGGGCAACAGCTCTTAAATACAAAATTTTATTCTTACATGTATTCAGAATATTGATTGCTAAGGAGATGGAAGAATAAATGTTTAAGTGAGGTTAAGGAAGAGGATTTGTGTAAAGAGGTAGGTAAGAAATTCCAAAAAAAGGTAGCACGCATGATAAAGGAATATTTAAAGGGAACGGTTCTATAAGAGGGAACAAAACAAACAGGTGTATGGACTGAGATCTCGTATTAGACGAATGAACAGAGGAACAAGGAGTAAAAAAATCAAGAAGGTAAGAGGGCTTTTTATAAAGGTTTGGAAAAGGAATACACCTAGGAAATATTGGTGCCATAAAACTAGATAGAGCCACTTCAATTTGATTCAATGTCTTCAAACGGTATATCAACTACAGACATGGGAGCGGAGCGCCTGGGGACTCCAAAGATGAATCGAATGAAACAATTCATTAATCTTTTTAATCTGATCTCAAGCCCACAAGACAGCCCACTGTATACAAAGCAGCAATAATCCATTGCTGAGGAAACTAGGAGTTGGTGTGTTTTTAGGGGTGCAGAATCACGGAATCTCAGGAACTGTTTTAGGATACCATTAGCTTGGATAATTTGTGAAAAATGATTATTTCAGGACAGTTATTGATCGAAAATTACTTTGAGATTTCTAACAGAAGTATGGAAATGATTTGGTAGTCCATTGACTTAGAGTAGGGAATAGTATGGAATGGAATTAATAAGATGCTTGGAACCAATGAGAATGGCTTTGGTCTTCTCAACATTCAATTTTAAATCATTACTCGATACCCAAGTAGTAATACTGTTTATATCTTTTTGTAGTCTTTGAATCGCCTCCAGAACCTCAGCAAGATAAAAGGAAAGGTAGATTTGGAGATCTTCAGCATATAAGTGGTATTGTGAATGATGGATGCTATCGGGAAGATCGTTGACATATATAGAGAAAAGAGTTGGAGAGTGAAGATCCACGAGCAACACGACAAAATACTGAAAGAGGGGAGGAAGTTTTATTCGGAATAATGTCATACATATAGATATACATATACACACACAAATATTAATATTCCTTTTATATTACAAGTTGGGGCGGAGTGGCCAAATGGCCTAAAGCGTGTACACAGCACCGCGAGTTGCCTGGCAACCAGATACCAGAGATTTGAGAGATTAAAAAGTACGAGTTCGCATACCGGTGCTGGAAGTAATTTTAAATTCCTCGCCCTCACCCCCTCCCCGTCCCGGGGAAATCCTGTATAGCCTAAAAGGCGAGGTGGGAAAGAACAGAAGAAAAGAAAAAAAAAAAAGTTGTCCCCCACAGTTTCATGTGTTATACATAACAGCTTCATGAGGACTAATCTTAGATGAAATAGACAGATACAGAATTGACATCACAACTCTCCAAGTTCACAAGAAGGAAGATCTGTAGGAATGCAACCATTATTGGGCTATCTCTCTTCTTCCTTGCACCAACAAGGTATTGTACAAATTTCTACCTCGTGTATAGAGCCTCCAAGGGAAATATCAATGCAGCTTCCGCAAAGGGAAGTCTACTACACATCAAATATTCATCTTAGAAACCATTCTAGAGGGAAAAAGAAAATACAAACACACCATAACCAAATTTATCTTTCCTTCAACCCGACAGATTCCTCTAATGCTATCCTGAAACTGCAACAAGACATCAACAGAATATGCGCATGGGCAAATCTTAATAAGCTAACATTGAATACGGAGAAGATAAAAGCCATCCTGATCGGATCCCCCTCACTCCTCAAATCCATTTCAACACCTCCTAATCTTCTTCTGAACAACTCACCTATATCCTTCCATACCACCGTTAAAAACCTAGGCGTTACCCTCGATCAAAACCTCTCCTGGAAACCACACATCTCCCAAATCTCCCGCCGTACTCTATCCACCCTGAAACAGTTTAACCATCTACGTTATCTTCTTCAGTCCAAAACCCGTCAACTCCTGGTCTCCTCTCTTGTTTTCCTCCACTTTGACTATGGCTGCATGGTGTATGGTGGACTCTCGGAAGAACTCGAAGCCAAACTTAAACGTTTAATGAATTGCTCAATCCGCTTTATCTTCGGGATCTCAAGGGATACGCATATTAACTCCTGGTCTCCTCTCTTGTTTTCCTCCACTTTGACTATGGCTGCATGGTGTATGGTGGACTCTCGGAAGAACTCGAAGCCAAACTTAAACGTTTAATGAATTGCTCAATCCGCTTTATCTTCGGGATCTCAAGGGATACGCATATTAACTCCTGGTCTCCTCTCTTGTTTTCCTCCACTTTGACTATGGCTGCATGGTGTATGGTGGACTCTCGGAAGAACTCGAAGCCAAACTTAAACGTTTAATGAATTGCTCAATCCGCTTTATCTTCGGGATCTCAAGGGATACGCATATTACTCAGTTCTACACCAAGTTGAAGTGGCTTTATCCGTCCTACCGCCGTCAATATTTTCTGGCTAACTTCCTATACCGAGCCATTACAACACGGCGACCTGCCTATATTCTACAGATCCTACAATTTAAACCCTTTTTAATACAAGTTGTCTCCCTCTGGAACTCTATACCTTCAGATATTCGACACGCAAAATCGATATCCTCTCCTCTTCGAACACCTACTCCATTCACAATCCGATTTATCACAAAATGCACTTAAGAATCTAAGCAGTAAAAACCTCAAAGTACACCCAGATACTCTGTTTATTTTGTAATTCATCGATATTTCGTTTACTTAATTACTTTCTCTGTATATTTTATATTTACACGTATTTATATCTTTTTATCATTTATAACTTTATTGTACTCCGAATCAACCTGTAAATATTAAATTGTATTTCATGGACACACCAAAATATTGATATATATTCTGTATTTGTGACTTGTTCTAAAGGGACACTAGTCCCAGAATAATAGAATTATTTTCATTCATTCATTCATTCATCTGTTTGTTTCTTTTAGGTCCATCTACAATAGCATCCAACATGCACCTCTTTATCAGGCAATGAAAGATCTTAATACATCTATTAAGCTTATTCACTTAGTAAAACTTATAATGAGCAATATTCAGTGTATGGTGCATGTCTAAGGGGATTTATCTGAAGGATTTATTTCTGATAATGGCGTTCAACAAGGAGATTCACTCACCTGTCCGCTCTATAATGTTGGTCTTGAAAAAGCTATAAGAAAATCAAAGATTTGAAATCAAATCTCTCCTGGAGTCTTCATTCCGAGTTTGATTCAATTGAATAAATTCACAAATTATCATGTATGCTTTTACACTTAAATACCTAATAATACCAATTTAGTGAAAAAAAAGTAAAACCCAAGGAATATATGGATATTTTTCTAGAAAGCATTGGTAAGTAATCAAATTTATACTTTGATTCACAAAAAGACGAAGATATAAGAAAACAATATGGGCAATTCTCTTTGTAAACATTCTGAAATAAATGAAAAAGGCTCCTCCCTATAATTGAATTTCTGACAACGTAGTATGGGATACTTTTCTGTCCTATATATTTTTAAAACAATAAAGTAAATTATTCGTTACCAATTATATGGAAAATGAGAAACTCCATCATATTTTTATTTTTAACGAAAGAGACATTAAGATTGTTACAATTGACTTTAAAAATAATTAGGAATAGAATTTGGCTAAAGTCTGAGATAATACATTATTTTCAAGAAATTTGAAAAATATTATTTCCCAAATACATTTAAATATTTAGGAAAGCTCCTAAATTAATCAAGTGAACTTATTCATTGAGGTGCCGCAGTGGTCGAGAGAGTTAGGGTGTCTTCAAAAATACCTAGTTGTTCCTTATACTCCACTACTCCCTTATTGTCCCTGAAAGGCTGGTGGTCAGGGTCCACCCCTTCAACTTTCCTAATACTGTAGGGGACATTTAGGGGAAATATAGGACCCTTCATCATTCCCAAAACTACCCTTTACCCTCTCCCCCCCAACTCACTACAAATTATATTTAACTGATAGAAAATGTGATTATCGTGTTGTAATTATTATTTTTGCTATGATTATGCTTCTAAAATTATCATTTTTATACTTCTACCTAAATAAAATCTAGTGAAATGAAACTTCTTGGTTCAAACTATTTTTTGAGTATCTAAGAGGTAGGTCAAAAGCTAAAAAATAAAAAATTTATTGAGAACGCTATTTTCTTCACTCCACTTCATAGAATTAGTTTGATATTAGCCAGATAATGATATATAACTGCTTCTTCTTTTCTTAAACATTGGCGCAAAAACTTGTTAAAATATCAATTAAACATCGATTGTAGTAAGTAAAGGAGGTAACTGGACAGTTTAAATACATAATAAGCTATTGTTACCTGTTTTTTAATATTCTTATTATATAGAAGAGTGATATATAAAAAAAAAGATTTTGTGGAGGGAGTTACAGATTCTCACATCCCTAGTTCTTGAAAAAGCTGATGTAGAAAATAAAGATACAGATACAGTTTCAATGGCAAAAATGAATAAAATAAAATAAAGGCTTGACGAATTCAATGAGAATGTTGTTTTCCCCATTCCCCTGGAACGATTCAGCAGTAGAAGGTAATGGTGGTGTTACCGTACAATAACTTGTTTTATTATTATCTATGGGGGACTCCTTAAAGATTTAGTGTGAAGGAAATTCATTTCCTCACTTCACAAGTTTTAGAAAGTGCGTCAGTTCTGGAAAACTATAAAATTCTTGGAAAGTATCAAG